AATGAAAGACATGGGTGAAGCAGAGTATATACTTGGAGTTAAGATCCAAAGAAATCGTTCAAAACGAATCCTCTCTCTTTCACAAGAGAATTATATCAACAAGATTCTTGAGCGATTTAACATGAAAGACTGCAATCCCATGAGTACACCCGTTGCCACTGGAGTGGCTTTGAGTTCTGACATGTGTCCCAAAACCGAATCCGATAAAAAGAAGATGGAAAGAGTTCCATATGCCAGTGCTGTTGGTAGTCTGATGTACGCAATGATGTGTACAAGACCAGACATCTGTTATGCAGTGGGACTGGTGAGCAGATTCCAGTCTAACCCCGGTGAAAAGCATTGGAAAGCAGTGAAGAGGATCTTGAGATACTTAAAGGGCACTTCCAATTATGCACTGTGCTACGAAGGAGGTGACCTGCGTCTTGTTGGGTACTCCGATGCTGATGTAGGCGGAGATGAAGAAGAACGAAGGTCAACTTCAGGTTATACCTTCTTACTCAACAATGGCGCCATATGTTGGAGTAGCAAGAAGCAAACGTGCATTGCCTTACATTCAATGGAAGCTGAGTTTGTGGCATGCACTGCAGCAGTGCAAGAGGCTTTATGGCTGAAGAGATTTATAGAACACCTTGGATTTGGAAATGAGAGTACCAATCCGGTGATGGTATACTGTGACAATACTGCAGCCATAGCCTATACTAAAGATCCTAAGTATCACAGCAAAACCAAGCACATTGACATCAAGTATAATTTCGTTAGAGATTACATAGCACAAAAGATTGTTACTGTACAATACATTTCAACCAAATGTATGGTAGCAGATCCTCTGACAAAGCCAATAGGCGAAAAAGTTTTTAAAGAACATGTACAAGCCCTTGGCATACGTAAAGTGTAATATGAATGCTTCATTAATGAAATTATATTTCGTTATCACTTTATGTGTCTGTCTGAAAGTATACAATGTCTAGTATGTCGTACAGGTTAAAAAGGTTGGCTCTCTCACACGGGCAACCGCCTTTGACACTCAGGTGGAGTGAACAAAGATGAGACATTTGTGTTCACCAGTAAAGCAGCAATGAATGCTGATATGGTAGAGAAGAAACACAAACTTTATGTCGCCTTGACTAAAGTGTAGCAAGTCAAGATGAGATCCACGTTGATAAAGTTGGATCGAAGTTTGGAATCCCACTTCCATAATACCTGTAGCCAGACAACAAACTCTTCAACGTCGACGTCATAACAATGAGCAGAGTTGAAGAATTTGGGTTTAGATACTGAGTGTGTCTGGACCTAAGTCTGTACGGTGTTAATAATAAATCTAAATCGACATACGCTCTTATAGTAAAAGAGTAACACCGTAGCATGTGTTTCATACCACATGTGCTGAGAGAACCGCAAAAGGGAAGCAAGTGAAAGATCCCTGCTTCATTGCTGTGTGAGTCCCAGGGAGGAATTATCCCCCTATTGGTGTCCTTTGACTTTGACAATATCATGAAGATATGTTTCAGTGACTGCTACTTTGGCATATGTCCTATGGTCATGATTGATGCGATCTAAGGTAGTATGCTGAGAAAGCGACTGATTCATTTCAAAGTGATACTTGGGCGAAAGGAAGATTAACTGTGATATACACACCTATGCTAGTGTCTGTGACATGTCCCTTATGACATTTTGTGGTCGTAAGTGTGGATACTAGACATACGAGAAAGGTAATTTGAGTCAACCATTGACTCGAGAGGGATTAGATTTACCGTGAAAAAGTGTATATAAGTAAATCTGGGACATCTGAGGCATAATTTTAAATTCAAGCTACACAAAGGAAAGGGTGACTGTGCTGATCCTATAAAAGGGGTTTCTAGTACAGGGACCCAAGCGAAGACGTCATGCCCACGCGGTCACGGCAAAGCACTAAGTATGAAATTGAGGGAAGGTGAAGAGACTAGATCCGCGACATCTAATCCACCAAGTGTGAGTGGGAGATGTAAGAAAATGGGCCAGTCCACCCTTGGTGGATTGGACCCAAGCCCAGTATCATTTGGGGTCCTGGTGCAAATAACAAGACTTGTGGGTCTTAAAGTGCAATTTTTGCCCTTTAATATATTTTGCCAACAGCGGGAACAGTTATGTCGAGGGAGGCAGTTTTCTTTTTGAAAATATGCATGGGATAAGTTAACCGTAGCATCAGTTATTGGTACGCACGCACGTTCGGTTTTCTTTTCTCCTCTCCTGCCTTTTCCAGTCTCCTCCCTCCCTCTCTGCAAAAGCTTTCCCTCCGGTGCATTTGCTGTGTCTCCCAGATCCGACTCCGTGACCGTGATCGGACCTCCGCGTGGCAACCTGACTTTACTGCAGACTCCAGGTATGCCCGAAAACCTGCAGTTTGTATGGCATCAAATTAAATTGCCCTTAGATTATTCCTCAAATGTGAAGATTTAGATTTCAAAGATTACAATGTTTCCACTAGCTATACTGAAGGCCCGAAACACAATTTTTTTGAGCTCAAGACAATTGTATATTTAAAGGAGGTAAATCGAACCACAATCAATAGGAGTTGAATTTGGTAAAAAAAAGATTAGTCTTTCAGCCGACGAATCAATATTTAAATTCTTTGTGAGGAGTGTTTACATTTAGTACCTAATAGTGTTTCGAATATGTTTGCCTCCAATAGATAGATACTTATATGTATCCCAAAAAAAAAATTGAACCACAGTCTTACATATTTAGGTCGAAATACATGTAATTATATATGGCATGCAAATTCATAATAATATTTGCTTTCGGGGTAATGGAATTCAGTATTGATTCCCAAAAAGGATACGGGGTGATTCTAGTTAGCTGTTGGAGGCCTAAATGAAACTTACGAGGCCCAAATTAACGATGGAAAAACATTACCAAGTGGTGACGTGGAACACTTTTTTATTTTTATTCACAAGACATGAAACACGTTTTCTTTTTTTTGGTGAACAGACATGAAACACTTTTTTTTTTTTTAATGAAATGGATATTCTCATTACAAAATAAACTATATAAAGTCAGGCAATATACAAGCAACATATATACAAGCAATAGGATTCACATGATTAAATTGATAGTGGAAAAACATTTTAAGGAATGCCTAAATATAGCACAAATACTTATCAAAATATTTTCAATAGTATAATTCTCACCGGAAAAGAGACAATGATTCTTTGCTTCTCATAATTTCCAACAAGTTATGCACAATCCAATTTTTCAAGAATCCTCTAGATTTGGATGCTGCAGTTGATGGGTTAACTAGTAAGCAATATCTTTCTCAAAGAAATCTATGTATATATCATTTGGGAAAACTTTCTTCCACACTGAGAAAGTTAAAGGACAAGCCTTAAAAACGTGATTAAAATCCTCTATGTCTACACAGCAAAGAATAAATGTTATACCTCTTCTATATCTTTCAGCATTAGTTAGCAATTCCTTTTAACAAGAAGCCAAGTAAAGGTCTATACCCTCTTAGCTATTGGAAGCTTTCATATCTGGGTCCACTTTTTTTCAGCATTGTTCCAATTTTTAAATGGAGACAAGCGGCACCATTCTGCAAACGTTCAATTTTTCCCCACAAATTATACATAAATAAATATATCACGTGCCTAACATGTGACTTCAATAATTAGGTGCCATGCATGTTATGTTAATTTGATGGGCTTTTAAGCTTGATTGTATCAAAAAACAATTGAGATAAGGTACAATTTTGACCATAATCTTATTTTTTAGGTGTAATTTTGTTCCTGATTTTTTAATAGTGTAATTTTGACCTTAATTTTTTGTTTTGAGTTAGGGACAAAATTACACTCCTAAAAATCATGGTCAAAATTACACCACAAGAAAATGAGGAACAAAATTGCACTTTAATCCAAAAATTGATGGGCTTAGATTTTTCTATTTTTATTATATTTTTTCATCTATTTTTTTCATATGTTTTTTTTAATTAATGTTTTAACTCTAATAGCTTACATATAATGGATTTTTGAGTTTAAGTTATTAATTAGAATTTTCAAGGGTCTTAACTAGTTTAGAAGCCTTCTAATTTTTTTTTAATAAATGCTTCATTATGTATATGCTATGAAAATTGGGGTTCACAGTGAGAAAGAATTTAATTCTTTGAATGAGTACTTTACCAATTATTTGGTGTTCTTTAAATAATTAAACTTGTGGCTCATTCAAGTTTTTTTCCCCGTTCGTGGTGGCATTCAGTGACTTTATTTTCTGTTGCTTGTTGAGAATTTCTTATGCGTAGTTCCAATTTATCTGCGTGCTTCTATATCATTGATTTGCAGGTTGTAACATTAATTAATATAAAAATTTACATTTATTTTCGGCTAATTATTACGCATTAACCAGTGTAGAAAACCATAATTTCTACATCGGCTGCGAGTGAAAATCAATGTAGGGTTAGCTACTTTTTTCTACACCAATTAACAACAAACAATATAGAAATCATTGTAGAAAGTCTAAGATTTTTTTTATATCAACTATATCACCATAAATCGGTGTAAACAGTTCTTTTTAACTGCCGTAAGAGGCCAATGCAAACGGGAAACATTCTTTTTACCCGCTTTGATGTTAGTGTATTGCACCAAGCTTTTAAGGTAGGCATCTATTTAAATAAGCTTTCAAAACATTACATATTAATTCATTGATGATATACATTTAACCTATTCTAATACTGTGATGTGCATTGTCCATGGCTGATGAATATTTAATTAGTACATGTAGATTTTCTTTTACACTGCTTTATGATTGGGAGAGAAAGATAAAAAGTTAGGGTAGGATATGATTCATGAAATTTATAATTAAATTCCTTAAATCTTGTGACTTTTTTTTTAATCAAAATCTTATGACTTTATTAACACCCATAGAATATGATGTATGTTTAATATTTCTTTTTTTTCTTTTTGAATTACACGAGGCAAGCTTAAAGCTTGAAAGAGTTGGGGAATAAACAAAAGATCAAAGATAAGAGAATTCTAAGAAGTAGGACCAAAGTCCTCAATTGATTGCGCATCTTTATAAATGACATGTCGGCAGTACTCCACTATTTGCAGTAACAGTTTCAACTGCACTTCCTCTGAGTGTGCTTGTCTTGCTAGCTTATCAGCACATTCCAGTGTTTCCCTATTTGCATGTGTCAGTTCGACCTCCCAGTCCTCATATAATAATTGCCTTGTTTCCTCAATAATCTGTCCGTAAGGATGATTCTCTCCACTATCTCTAAGCAGGGTGCTTATCGCTTCTAGTGAATCGGAAAAAATTTGGACCTGCTTCAATCTGAGATGTTGGCAGACTTCCAATCCTGTTTTGATTGCTAAAATTTCAGCTATTATAGTAGGGTAGAAGCCCATATTTTTTTGGAAGCCCATGATCCACTTTCCTCTTTCATCTCTGATGATTCCTCCACACGCCGCTTTGTTGTAGCTTACGATTGAAGCATCTACATCCAGACGTGTACATCCCGGTGTTGGAGGTATCCAGTGGTCCGCCCTCTGGTGATCTGTATTGAAAAGTTGATGGTGAAACTTCCCTATTGATGTGTCTTCCATGAGCTGGTATAAGATGTGTTGATATGTCTCCCTGGTTGTTCTGTTCCTTCCTTCCTTCAAAAATCGCTGTACATCTATTTTTCCAGAGCATCCAACAAACATGGCTAAATATTCTTGTCCAGGGCCGATGTTTGAGTCTTGGTGTGCTTAAGTTTTTCTTGCTATTCCATCTGATCCAACCCTGCAAATCAAAAGAGAAGAAGACAGTATAATGGTTAGGAGAAATAAACTATTTCCACACTTCTTGCGCTCTCTCACAATCTCTAAGGGTATGTATTATACTCTCCTCACACTGACAGCCCATGGGGCAATTTGAATTATTGGAAATTCCTCTTTTAGCTCTTAGGGAGTTAGTCATCAGTCTCTCATTTGTGACTTGCCATAGGAAAAATTTGATTTTTTCTGGGATTTGCCAACACCAAAACCTTGTCCAGACTTGTGGTCTGGCGTGCTCACCAGATTCCTTGATGAACAAATAAGCTGCCTTAATAGAGAATTTTCCGTCTGAAGCACTTCTCCATATGAATTCATCTTCTCTGGTGCTTGTAGGGGGATTAATTTTCCTCAGGAAGTTTATGATCCAAGGAGGGAAGTATTTTTTCCATTGTTCTACATCCCAGTTACCATTCAGCAAGACAAAGTCCCGCACTGAAGCTCCTGGCTTTACTTCACCGATGTTTTGTGAGATAAAATCAATGAGAGGCTCTTTGAGTGGTGTCCATATATCCTACCAGAAGTAAGTACTGTTACCATTGTTCACTTTCTTACCAATTCCTTGTATCAAAGACTCCCAGACGCTGACTATAGCTTTCCACATCTTGGACTAGATAGCTTTTTTAAATATCTCTGGTGTCATGTTGTTTCCGCAATCATTATTATTTCGCAGACACTGAACCCATAAGGCAGACGGTTTGGTAAGCAGCCCCCAGCAGAGTTTCATGATGAAGGCCTTATTTTGAATCTCAAGATTTTTGATGCCAAGTCCTCCTGCCTTCTTGTTTTCCATTATCTTCTGCCAAGCTATCAAGTGAAGTCTTCTAGTTGTTTCATCTTGGGACCACAGGAAGTTCCTGCTTGTTTTTTCAATTTCTTGGAGAACTCTTTTTGGGAGGAGCATGGATTGCATCTGATAGGAGGGGAGAGCTGATAGGACAACTTTGATGAGTACTGTTCTCCTAGCTATGGATAGAAATCTTCCTTTCCAAGCAGTAAGTCGAGACTTAACTCTTTGGATTATATGTCCATAGGAATTTTTTGTCACTCTTGAATGAATTAATGGAACACCCATATACTTTCCAAGATCAGGAGTTATGTTAATCCCAAGACTTTGGCTAAGTTGCATTGCGTGGTTGAAGTGCAGATTCTTCAAGAAGAATGCTTTGGACTTGTCCAGATTAATCCTGTGCCCTGAAATGCTGCAGAATCACCTCAGAACTTGCTTGATTTCTTCCATTTGTTCTAGAGAGGCTTCCACAAAAAGAAGAAGGTCATTAGCGAAGAAAAGGTGGGAGATCTGAGGCCCATTTCTTTTGAATCCTAAAGGTTTCCACCTGTTTCTCCTGCATTCATCTTTTATTAGGTGACCCAATCTTTCCATGCACAAGACAAAAAGGTAGGGGCTCAAAGGATCTCCTTGTCGAATACCTCTTAAAGGGGTAAATTCAAAACCCTCTAGACCGTTCCACTGCACTCTCATTGTAACGGAGGTAACACAAGCCATGATGAGTTCAATCAAATCTTCTTTCAGTCCTACACAGTGAAGGGTGTTTATGAGGTAGCCGCAGTCCAACCGGTCAAAAGCTTTTTCCATATCTACTTTTACTACTATAAAACCCTTCTTACCTGTCTTTTTTGTTTGCATATGTATAGCTTCTTGGGCAATAATTATGTTGTCACAGCTTGAACGGGAGGCTTTGAAACTACACTGTTCTTGCCCAATTAAATGATCCATTACTGATCTAAGACAAGTAGCTATCACCTTGGTTATTACTTTACAACTTACATTGCAAAGAGAGATAGGTCTCATTTCCCTTAGGGTCGTTGGTTGGTCCACTTTTGGGATGAGGACTATGCTGGTCTGGTTGAAATTGCCAATAGTGGTTGGATTCTGGAAAGCCTCCTAACCAACTTACACAAAGCCTGCCCCACTCTCTCCTATTGGGATTAGAAGAAGTGTGCTTGGAGTCCATCGGGTCCTGGAGCTTTAAACCCATCCATTGAGAAAGCAGCGTTTTTGATTTCCACATCGGTCACTTCTTTGTGGATTTCATCGACCTAGTTTAGTGTCAGTCTTAGGAAATTCTGTGGCCAGCTTAAGTCTTCTTCTATTTGATTGTCTTTTGTATAGAGCTGTTGATAGAATTGACTAGCCATCCGTGCCAGTTCTTCTGGGTTTTGTACCCATTCCCCTCTATCATTCACAAGGCTGTGATTCTCTGCTTCTTTCTCTTGAACACAATTGAAGCATGAAAGAATTTTGTATTTCTGTCACCCCATTTGAGCCAGTTACAGCGGGCCTTTTGAAACCAAATCATTTCTTCTTGGAGTGTTAGTTTATTGTATTCGTTCCAGAGGTTCTTTTCCACCCGAGCTAACCCATTTGAAGGATTACTCTTTTTATGTCTCTCTATACCCTCCATTCTCTTTAGAATTTTTTGTTTGCGTCTTGGAATACTTCCTAAGTGTTCTTTATTCCACTTGGTTGTAGCTTCTTGGAACTTGGCCACACCTTGGCACCAAGTACTTTCTTCCCAGGCTGCTTTCACAATATCGTTAAAACCATTCTCGGGAGCCTAGGCGGCTTGGTAGTGGAACCGCTGTGGTGGAGGTTGTTTGTTTCTCTTGACTGTATAGGGACAACACTATTACTTTATGATCAGATTTGTACTTCAGATCATAGTAGATTCTGGATGTCGGAAATTTTATGTCCCAGGCTATGTTCCCAAAGACCCAATCCAGCTTTTCTTGAATCTCTCCTCTTTCCCAGGTGAACTTGTTCCCAGTATCTTCCAATTCCAATAGACCTGAATCTGTAATGCACTCGTTGAAATCTGACATGGATGTGATATGTGGCTTGGCCCCTCCCCTCTTGTCTCTTGGAGCCCTATAAGCATTGAAGTCACCCAGTAAGATCCGGGCTTCCTCTGTAGCTTTGGCTATGGTTTTGATTGATTGCCAAAGAGTTTGTCTTTTGCGACGATTAGTCTCTCCATAGACAAAGGATCCGAAAAAAGTTTTAGAGGAGTGCTTGTCTCTGATTTGGCAATGTAGGATTTGCTCATTGGATGAGATGTAAGTAACAGTGCAATCTTTTTCGTTCCACATGAGCCATATACCTCCAGCATATCCAGTAGCTTCCACTCTAATCCAATTGAAGAAACCCATTTTCCTTACAACCCTGTCTGCCCTTGGTCCGCTATTCTTGGTTCAATTATACAGAGAATGTCGATTTTGTTCTTGTTGACAATGTCTTTCACAATTATGGGGAAGGTCTTGCTGCCGGCTCCCCTACAGTTCCAGCTAGCAATATTCATGGATAAAAGGAAAGGAAGGAAAAGAGCACTTATCTGCTCAACTGTGTCTCTGGGACGGCTTCTACTGTTGCCGTGTCCTCCTCAGCTAGTTCCATACCTCTTCCATTATCACATAGCATCATAGGGTCTGGTGGTTTTGGGTCTAGGTTGAGTTCTGATAATGGTTCGTTTTCACTCCCATTGTTGGTTAACGGGTACTGATGATGGTTTGCACTTGTGTTCTGGTTCTCCATTTCGTTATTCTCCTGTTCATTTGAGTTGCTAACCATCAGGTTCTTGGTCTGGCCAGCTTGGTTCACATTTCCACTAATCACGTGATGCACTCTTTGTTTAGAGGCCAGCTTGGCCTTCTCTTTCGGTCCTTGCTCCACCTAGGCTTTAAAGTCACTGCTGGTTTGCAAATTGGGCTTAGGAGTTCCTTCTGTTTCATTTTCCTTTCCTATATTGGGCCTTTCATTCTCCTTCCCGTAAGCTTTTTGGGCCCCCTTTGATTCTGTCTTTGAAAATTGTTTAGAGGGCCCACTTAATTGTCTTCCTATCACTGTTGCTTTTTCATGTTTCTAGACTTCTTTTTTTCCCCGGTCACCAATTGGATTCTTTTGCATAGGGAGTTCAACCACCTCCTTTCCGCTAGCTCTACTACTTTCTCCATTCCCTATCCCGTCTTCTTCTTTAAGCGCCGCCAGCACAACAAATCTAGAGGGTACAGAGGTCTGGTCTTCCCTTCTGCCAGCTTTCGTACTATTTCCCCCATAGGCCGTCCTACTCACTGGCTTTCTCTCCCTCGAGATTCAAGTTCTAGCAAACCCCGAAACAAACATCCAGGGTCCGAAAGGTTCAGAATTCATCAAAGTGAAGTTTTCCGGTTGTTTCCCAGTGTGTTCATGTCAGCTGGTATTCTGGTTCCATCTTGCTTCTTCTCAGGTTGATTGCATTTCTTC